CAGGCTGGCTGGGCTGGGCTGGGTGGGCTAGGCTGTTTTGGCTGTCTGTCTGGGCTGGCTAGCTAACTGGGCTGTCTGGCTGGGCAGTCCAGCTGTCTGGGCTGTCTGTCTGGGCTAGGCTGGCTGGCTGGCAGGACTGGACTGACTGTCGGGCTGGTTTGAGCTGACTGGGCTGGCAGGCTGCTCTGGCTGGTCTGTTGACTGGTTTGGCTGGCAGCCTGCCTGAGCTGGGCTGGCTGGCTGGACTGGACATGGAGGGGGGTTCCTTTCCGCATTGCTTTCCATAACCAGAGCCCAGTTGCTCAAGAGGGTCCACATCCTGGGAATCCTGGAAATAAAAGAGAAGCATGAAGTGGAGGACATTCAGACCCTCTCCAAGAAGCCTACTTCTTTCTGGAGTCGGGGAGGTCCCCCCCTTGTGCTGTTCCCCCAGTAGCTCCCTTTCCTAGGGGAAAGCCACGCACTGCCTTTTCCTTCTTACCTTCTACGCATGGCTTTGCAGTGAGGCAAGGGCTGCTGCCCAAACCCCATCGGGGACAGGGGGGCTGGAAGGAAAGCAGGTCTAACTTACCCAACTGAAGGCATCCTCCTCCAGCCTCCGTGAGGGAAGGGCTGCTGCCCAGACCCCACTGGGGGGGGGCAGGGGGACTGGAAGGAAAGCAGGTCAAACTTACCCAACTGAAGGAATCCTCCTCCAGCCTCCTAGGGGCGCGATGGTGAGGGACCTCCAGGAGACTAGGAGAAAAAGCCCACCCAAGAGGTGAGAACAGGACATCGGAAGGGGCCTCCTGGTCGGGGGAGCCCTTTTCAGCCCAGCAGGGCAGCAGTGGCCGGCCTCCTCCCGAGGGGCTCCTTCCAATCCTCCTGCCAAAGGTAGACTCCCTCTGAATACAGGAGCTCCTTTCCTTCTTTGCAGCCATGAACCGGGTGCGAGACCTGCCCTGCCAGCTGGGAGGAGGTTGGCCAAGGGCCAGCCCTCTTTCCCGGGAGGGAGCTAGAAAGATGGGCAGAAGGTGTTGAACGCGTGCAAGACCAGTCGAGCCCCTCCTCTTGCTCTGGAGTCTGGGGGTGTCTCTGAACCGAAATAAGCCACCCATTCCGGTCCCTTCATCTGACTCACTATTCCGCTGATATTAACGAGGAACCCAAGCTGCTCCGTGGGGTCAGGGGAGGTTGGACTGCCAAGGAATCCTGTCCATGAAAGAGAGGCGTGAAATGGAGGACATTCCCACCCTTCGCCAGAAGGCCACCTCCCTCTGGAGTCAGGGAGTTCCCCCCCTTTCCCTCTTCCCCCGGGAGCCCCCTTTCCCAGGGCAAAGCCATTCGCTGCCCTCCTTACCGAGGAGATCTTCAATTCCCCAAGTCTGGGCCCTGGCTGACACTGGCCAGGCTTCACCTGCTCCTTGACTCTGAGAGAAGGAAATGACATGACAGGTCAGCCCCCCAAATGACTCCAGTGCCCCCCTAGAGCAGATGAGGTAGAAATAGAGGTCTCCCTGGACCAGTGGTGGTCCCTCCCCACCTTCCTGCCTCTCAGCCTCCCCCTCCTCCTTCAAGTCAGTGCCTTCCCTGACTGGGCTGTGCGAAGAAGATGCCCCAGGTCAGAAGCCGAAGCCATCTGAGCCCCACAGGATGAACCTGGGGCTCCAGCCACAGGTAGCCCCTTTGCCTGATCTGCCCTGCTCCCCTGCCCTTGTCCTGGCTCTCGGGTTGACAGCAGAGCCTTGGGGTTGCCTGTCAGGCACGTGGGCCATACCAGGGCACCCCTTCCCATCCCATCGCATGGAGGAGAGTACCTTTCCGAATTCCTTTCCATAACCAAAGCCAGATTGCTGAGGATGCCCCGAGGAATCTCAAGAGGCTCCAAATCGTGGGAATCCTGGAAATAAAAGAGGAGCATGAACTGGAGGACATTCAGACTCTCCCCCCAGAAGCCCACCTCCCTCTGGAGTCGGGGATGTCCCCCCCTTTTTCCTCTTACCCCAGGAGCCCACTTTCCCAGGGCAAAGCCACCCGCCACTCTCCTTACTAAAGAGACCTCTATATCCCCAAGACTGGGCTCTGGCTGAGGCTGGCCAGCCTTCAGCTGCTCCTTGTCCCTGAGAGGAGAAAAAGACATGATGGGTCACCCCCCCCCAAGAGACTGCAGGGCCCCCTCCAGATCGGCTGAGGTGGAAATTGAGGTGGTCCCTCCCCTTCTTCCTGCCCTCCAAGCCCTCTGAGCCTCCCCAACCCAAAGAGGGAAGTTGGAGCAATCCTTTTTCTCCCCTTCCCTGGCTTCCTCACTTCAGGGCCACTCCTCCCCTTCTTTTCTCAGCCGATCAGAAACCAGGTGGGTTTCCACTGTAGGCTCCTGGAGGTCAGCGATCTGGGTTCGATTGGGTTCTGGGAAAAGCTGGGAAGGGATAGCACATCGGCTTTTTGGGGTCCTACCTCGCAGGTGGGGCGGGGGGCTGCTCCTCTTCGGGGGTCCCTCGCCAGCAGGTGCAGAGGCACCTCCTCAGACGCTGGCAGAGAGAAAGAGGAGCCAGAAATTCGGGTTGAAGATAAGAATAAGAATAACAACAACAACAGTCAGGATCTCAAGGGGTCAGCTGGGTGGAGAGCGCTAAACGTTACTACTAAGGATCCCCCTGGATGGGTGACCCTTTGTCAATGAGGAGATTTTAGGTTGTCTTAACTTTATCTGTCTCAACCTCTCCATTTAAAAAAACTTAGGAGGGGGGCATTGCCGTTTGTTACCTAGGTTTATTTTTGAATTAAAAATAAATTTTAACATTTTAACAAATGAATGAATTTGTGGAAGCAAGAGCCACACCACGAAGCCCCCCTCCAAGCAGGTAGGCCAAACACCCCCCCCCTCGGCAGCCGGTCAGTCGGAGAAGCCTTTGGGGGGGTTTCCTGCAGCCAGGAGGTTCCTTCAAGGGGGAGGAGAAAAGGTCAGAGAAAAGTGGCTGCAAAGCATGAGGGGCCAAAGGCATCCCTGGGACATTCGTGGGGGGACGGTTGCTGTTCTTTGGCTCTGGTGCAGGGACGGTTGTTGGGAAAGCCGCCTTTCCAGTTCTCGGGGTCTCCAGGACCAAGGAGCATGTTGTGGGCCATATTTCCCCCCCCCCTGAGCTCCCTGAAAGGAGCAAAGCAACACCCAAGGGGGCTGCTGCTGTTTCCCCTCTCCTTCAGGGCTGTCTCTATGTTGGCCGGGGGACGGGAGCAAAAAGGGGTGCCCTTGCCCAGCCCTCCCAGCTGCCCCACAACCCCTCCTGGATTCTCACATCCTCCCGCCTGCCCCACAACCCCTCCTGGATTCTCACCCGGAACACGCGAATGATTCTCCTTGCTGCCATCACCAGGGCTGGATGCTCCTTTGGCGGGGGCACGCTCATGCTGAAAAGCGAGCCACCGAGAGAGGATCCCCAGGAGAGACCTCCCTTGGTGACCCTGCCTTGAGCAGAAATGACCGGTTGCCCAGGCTGGCTCGGAACCCTGTCGCCAAGGCAACCCCGTCAACAACCCCGGCTATGGAACCCGGCAAAAAAACTCCATGTTTGTGAATGAAAACCCGTCTCGGTTCCCAAAGGGATTCAGGGGTGGGGATGTCAACTGCTTTCCTGGCCCGGCTCCTGCGCTTAAGAAGCCCTGTTGCCTCTGGAGCCATCTCCCTTCCCCCAGACACCAAACCCCACGTCCTCCTCCTGGCTTCCCTCCTCCACCTCCTGGGCCACTGGGCGCTTCTGGTGCCCCTTCCCGGCTAGCCCAGGGGGGGCAAGTTCATCCCCAGCCTCTCCCAGAAGGGAGGCTCCAGAGGCAGGAGGGGCTGGTCGCGGATATCGGGCTGGGCTGAGAGGGGGGGCGGCCATCCTTCTTCCCACCAGGAGGGCCGGTTCCTCAAAAAGATTGGTTTACCTGTTTCGCACTTTCCAAGATTGCCCTTTAATGCTGTCTAGGCTGCCTTGGGACCTTTTCTCCTGAGCAAGGCGAGGTGAAATATTTTAAATCAAGAAATAAATGATCCACACTTCTGAATCTATTTCTTTGCTTTTTTCCCTCTCTCCCACAATCTCCATCGGCCGCTCAGAATTCTCATCAGTCTTTAAATTTAGCCTCACAACATGGTTTGTGAGAAAGGCCAGGTTCAGGGAAAACGGCAAGGCCGGAGTCACCCACAGAGTCTGGTGGGTAACTGAGGACTAGAAGCTTGAACTTTCAAGCCCTTATCTTAGAAGATCCACTGGAACCAACACTAAAATTAATAGAAAAGATCAAAGAATAGGGAGATGTATCAGGACTGAAATTCAACAAGGAGAAAACAAAAGTTATCACAAAACAATCTAACAGCAAACAAACAAAAAAAATCTATCGGAAATGTCAAAGTT